TGAAGTCATGCAAAAGACTACATGAGAACTATTTTTCTCCCTGTGGTGAAGTAATAAAGATTGCTTTCATTTTGTATTTTTCCTCAGCAGCGTTTTCAAATACACCAGTTTTAACATGAAGAGAGCATTGCTAGAGCTGATGGGGATATGCTTAGTATTTGCTTCATGGACAGGGAGGATGTGCATCTTTGTATTTCAATTATCTTTTGCTTTTTCATTCGTGCCTTAATTTTGCAAGGAAGTAGAATACAGAAATACTCAAGACAAATCCTGCTCTTGAAGGGTGGTGGGAGGAATAAAGTGTTGTATTATTCTATGTACTTGTGCCAGTGACAGACAAGACCAGTATCTTGAGTTGGTTGCTTGCAAACTGCACTGATAAGTGTTGCAGTATAAGGGAGACACTTTAAAAACAATTTTTTTTTTTTAAGGAGAATAGGCACTTTCAATTTGCCAAAATGGATAGTGTCCATTTAGTTTTTACTACATTAGAGCCAGTGGCAGAAAACTCAAAAATGTATCTTGTGTCAGAGTTCATTCAGCTCCATGAGTTACCCAGCCATACTGATTGAAGAGAAAATACAGGGAGAGGCTTAGGGCAAATTTTAATTTCCCTGGTCCTTGTCACCCTGTATCAGACAGAGCCAAGTTTGTGCAGCCCAAAGTTATTCAATATTCATTGACTTTTCAAGACTGTAAAGATGGTAGTAGGTTTACTCTGATATTTGAAAACTCTGCAGATGTGTCACAGTTGGGAGGCAGCTAACCATAATCGAGTACAGTACAGTTTTGTGCAGATGAGAAGGTTCAGTGGTAGCTGTGGAGATTCAAGGAGCTGCACACCCTTTGCCTTAGCCTGCTCTGTGAGGAGGGATAAGGGCTGTTATGGGACCCATGTGCATGCATAAGTCCCTTGATGCGTCAGGAGTTCCTCCTGTGCTTGCCTACAGTAATTTTTAGATAATACCCCTAGATCAGGCTTGAAATAATCAAATCTGAGAATCTTGAAAAATCTTAGTATGTTTTGCTCAAGACTTCTTTATTAATTGCTGATGTATTTACTGTAGCTTAGAATCAGGTAGGAAGAATTTGAGTTCATTTTATAGCTTTCCTACTCAGTGGAGCATGATGCAATTATTTCTGCATTGTCTTACTCTCAGAGTAGATTTCAGGTCTTTTTACACCTGAGAAGCACTGAGCATGGCAGGTGATGTTTGGACTGCACATTTGGCTTGCAATTTAGGGCTGGCAAGAGAAGGATTATGCCATCTGGTCTTGAGAAGTGCTTAGCATCTCCAGCAAGACATTGGATAAACTCCAATGAAAGTCACTGGGGATTTGATGCTGCTGAACATCACAACCGAATTGCCCGTTGCGTGTGATCTGGTATGCATCTAATACAAATATTTTCTGCAGTCTTATCTAGGCTGTGGACACTTCTCAGCATTATCAGAACACACATGCAGCCCCATGTGTGCTGGCTACAGTGAATGCTAGAATAGTCAGGTGAAACCCAGTTTTACCTCGCAGGTAAAGAGGTAAGCAGAGGTAGGCACAGATTATACAATATAATGATGCATGCCACAGTTACTGGTTTTATAATCCCCGGTGCTGTTCAAATGTTTCATTAATACTTGAGAGGTTTAGCAAACTCCCCATTGTAGAAACAGTATTATATGCATTTTTTTGCTTATTCTTGGTTCAAGGTTATTAACACCATAGCACTGTCTGGTAAGCTTTACAGATCAGATAGTGCAAAAGGAGTCTCACATTTCTTGCTTTACTGTTGTCATTTTTTTAACTCATAATCATTAGAGTGAACTGAATATGATTTTTGTAATTATATGGAAGCAAAATTATCTGAGCCTCCAAGCTGTCCTTCACAACAAACTTTCAAAAAACCAGTTCTAGCATATGAGGGACCAATTTTTTGCTACAGTTGAGAAAACAGTAGTGGTGGCATTTAGTGGCACTACAGTAGATTTCGTAGTACACTGTGTCGTGGGAAAAATATAGCAAGTGATGAATTATATTGAAAGGTGATCTAACATGAATGCTTTTGAATAAACAAATTTTATATATGAAGGTGGCTGAATCACTCACCCAGTCTAACTTTTGTTAGTGTGTCAAAACAAGCAACACGCAATTTTAGCAGTGTCCAGTTGCAGGGGTAGTATGAAGATTTGCTTGGAGAAATCTGAGTTGCTATTTTTTGGCTTTGCCATATGTTTTCCTTTTTCCGTTTTGCTGCGATGGATTTCTTTTTGTTAGCAGCAATAAATTTTTCCATGTTGAAAATAGGATTGGAAGAGTGCAGTAGTGCAGGGCTTGAGAGAAGTGACAGAAAGAGTAGCCACTGTAAATTGTGAAATGCACCTCTGGAAGAAACTCTCAAAAATGTAGTATTTATAGCAGGATATACTTCTTGATATGTGGCATTCTTTATTTGGTATGAGCATTGCCTCTGTGCTCTGGCATGATGTTGCGGGACACTGATTTTGCAGATATCGTTTGTCAGCTGAAATGTGTGAGATCTTAACCTCTAGTGATCAGAAATTGTCTTATGGTGTTTTCATAAGTAAAGAAATCATACCAATTCCAGCTGGGCCTAATCCACTTACCCCAATCATCCTGCCAGTTGAATTGTGTGTGTTCTTCGTTGCTTTTTGCTACAAAATTTTGTTGCTAAGCACTGTCATTTCATTGGTAAATAATACAAGCTGTGTGGATGATTTGTTGTAATTCAAGTAGAGCAGAATAGAAAGTGCTGCCTAGTCATTACATAGCCACAACTACTGTTGTAATTAAAATGTTGCTATCCTGACTACTAAAAGGAACACAAAAAGTATAGAGAGAAAGGAGAAAAACAAGTTGGTTTTTTTCATGTCACACCTAGAAAAGTACTTTTTCTAGTTTCTTTTGTCTTCTGAAACATTGTAGGGTACACAAGAAGTTTCAGCTCAGCATTTCAGAACCTCATTATTTCTGGAGAGATGCTGAGCTCAGCAGGGTGAATAGAAGGCACTTATATAATCAAGCAGAAATGTAGTTTAACTATCCCTCATTTGTTTTATCAGTCAGTGGTATTGGCAAGAATCTGGAGCAAGGAGAAGTTTGTGGTGCTAACTGATTTAAAAGGGTTTTTTCAAAGTGGAAATATATAGTGGTATAATTATATGGTAATACAGAGGAGAAACCTGCTCCTTTGAAAGTTTAAGGCTTTATAAATTTGCCAATTCAGAAAGAAAGACAACAAAAAACTCCTCCAAAGCATATTTGCTATTTCAATAATAGGAAAACTGATGGGTGACCCCGGAAAAGAACCAGTTTGTAGACTGGATCCAGAGTTGTTGAATTTATATTTAGAGGGAAGAATAAGTTACTTTAACTATTTTTACGTCTTTTCTGGATTACCTTGGAAACCTGTGTTTCACAGCTATCCAGCTATGATCTGTGATTGGTTTTATTATTTGGTCTGCTGAGAGCATTCAGTGTTTCTGGAAGAGACATAAAAATTTCAATTCTGATTCTTGGTGGACACATCATTGAATTTTAGTTCTGACTCTGAGGTAATATTTAATTGCTTAATTCTATAGCAAATTTGAGCAAAAATCCTCATGAAAAATCATCTCTTGTGGTTGCTCAGATTTATTTGAGTCGCTTCTATGGCATTAACTTTTCCTTTTGAGTGAGCAGTCTATGAGCATAGGATTTTTTACTGGGGTTGATCTGCAGAAAAAAGAGAATGATTGGTACCAGCAGGCAAATAGTGCACAGGATTGTTATGTACAGCAAACCCACCCACTATACTCTGTTTCTTGAGGATTATGAACATATTTTATTTCCCACTCTATAGAACTGAGTAGCTTTTAGATAGAGCTGGATTCTCCCCTAGCTGGTGCAGGGAAATGCATGTTTCTCAAAGGCATGAAGGGTCCTTTTACCGGAGAATAGTCTCAGAGGGAGATGGTGTTGGTTTTATCACTGTCCTGCCTCGGGGCCTACAGTTTACCTGGGGAACATAAAAACTGGGAACAGCTGCAAGTGGAGTGTTATGTATTAACATATTCTCTAATTTGCTTTCCTCTCTCCTGCTGTTTTCTCGATGATCTGTATTGAGTGCTGCCAGTGGGATAGTGGTAGTTGTTTTCCACTGCTGCCGTTTTCCCACTAACAACCTTTCTGCTGTCAGCAATTACAAGATTTTTGCTCAATACATTAGCAGCTTCAATTCCAATGCATCCTGTTTCAAAAGCAGGCATTTCTTTTCTACTCACTTGGGCTACATAGCAGAATAGAGGACACCAAAGAATCTTGCTCATATGGTGGTGCATATGTGTGTTTGTGTGGTGCTGTTCTTGAGCTAACGTGCTTTCTCGCCAGGACTTTGTAGTCCAAGCAGTTTTAAATTGTATTTCCTTGAATAACTTCTGAAAACAAAACAAACGGTGACCAGATCTATGTGTGAGTTTGTCTGCAGTGTACACTTATGAAGCTGTGACTACACTAGGACATGGAGAAAGGTGTGCTTGTAGGTGTACTCTGATGTCAGCTGACAGATCTCAGAGATACTTTTATGTAGCTTTCCTACCACAAAGTCTAAGGCTAAGGCATTTTTAAGTGCCTTAGCCTCACTAACGTTAATACCAAATGGGCAAGCTGGGTTACACTGCTTGTCTCAGCTTTCCCATCTGTAAGTTACTACTTGGAATACCTTCTTTCTTACCACTCTTGTCATGTGTTAAGCATTCATAATGGATTAGTCTTAAAATGTGTTGAACAAAAAAGGTAACAGATCGATTAAACCAAAGCTTTACTTGTATGCCATTGCTGTGTCATTTTTGGGCAGCTGTGCCTCCCCTCTGTGTTTGGTATCTCAAAAATTGGAAGAAATTAATTCCTTTATAGTTGCATCTTGCTATATTTTAAAATGAACGATACATGACTTATATACCTCTTTAGTGAAATATTCAGTGCATCTCCTTTTGTTGTAATTGCAGCAATCACTGAAAAGGAGAGGGAGCAAAGACCTTCCAAAATCAGAAAAAAAGTCACAGCAGACACCAACAGAGGTATGTTGCAATAACTGTAGCCCGGATTCTTATGCGCAGGCTTCAAGGACACTATTGAAATGGGGTACATGATTTGTAGATGTGCGCTTGGCTTGCTTTTTGCTTTGCCCTTTGTTTTCCTGTATCCTGTGAAATGGAGAGGTCTTACCCCAGATTTGCAGTCAGACACCACTAATCTCAAGGACCACCTAAACAAACTTGGTACTGTGACAGAACCCTCCAGCTTTCATCTACCTGATATTTTAGACAAAGTAAACGGCAGCACCAGTGAAACAAGTTTATAGGCTCTTTGTGTGCTGACTTCAGGATTTTTGAACACTGTAAAGTATGTGATAGTGTTGCAAGCCTAGAAAATATTAGGGTTTTTTACAAGCCCTCCTCTCCACCCCCCACTATGTATTTTCTGTGCAAATTTTAGTCACAAGTAAAATATTCTTTTCTCCTCTTTTATGTATAAGTCCTTACTTCCCTCTTTTTAATTTATTGATCAGTGAAAAAATGATTGCAGAAAAATCATGTAGTATATAAAGCCATATACCTGTGATTGTTAATCTTGTAAGTTAAGACTATCCACTGGAGGTCTCCTGTTTGACATCAAGTTTCTTCAAATACTATTTTTTTTTCCTAAGGAGGACAATGAAGACCTGAAATGCCAGCTACAGTTTGTCAAAGAAGAAGCAGCCTTGATGAGAAAGAAAATGGCTAAAATAGATAAAGAGAAAGACAGATTTGAACATGAGCTGCAAAAATACAGATCATTTTATGGGGATTTGGACAGTCCCTTGCCAAAAGGTGAAGCAGGTGGGCCGCCTACCACAAGAGAAGCTGAACTCAAGCTTCGATTGAGACTTGTGGAGGAGGAAGCTAACATTCTTGGGAGGAAAATAGTGGAACTAGAAGTAGAAAATAGAGGACTGAAAGCAGAGCTTGATGATTTAAGAGGAGATGATTTCTCAGGGACCACTAACCCACTCCTGGGAGAGCAGAGTGAATCCCTGTCAGAATTACGACAGCATTTGCAGCTAGTAGAAGATGAAACAGAATTGCTGAGGAGAAATGTAGCTGATTTGGAAGAACAAAACAAGCGCATAACAGCTGAGCTGAACAAATACAAGTACAAGTCTGGGGCCCATGAGAGCTCTAGGCACCATGACAATGCCAAGACAGAAGCATTACAGGAGGAGCTGAAAGCTGCACGAATGCAGATCAACGAGCTGAGTGGCAAAGTCATGCAACTCCAGTATGAGAACAGAGTCTTAATGTCCAACATGCAGCGCTATGACTTGGCCTCTCATCTTGGGATCCGTGGCAGTCCTAGAGACAGTGATGCGGAAAGTGATGCAGGAAAAAAGGAGAGCGATGATGATTCCCGCCCTCCTCACCGCAAAAGGGAAGGCCCCATAGGTGGGGAAAGTGACTCTGAAGAGGTGCGCAACATTCGGTGCCTGACACCCACGAGGTCTTTTTATCCAACACCATCTGGGTGGCAGAAAAGCTTCACTGACAGGCAGCAGATGAAGGACATTCGCTCTGAAGCTGAGCGGCTGGGCAAGACAATAGATCGCCTAATTTCTGACACAAGCACCATCATAACAGAGGCACGAATTTATGTAGCTAATGGGGACCTCTTTGGACTCATGGATGAGGAAGATGATGGCAGCAGAATACGTGAGCATGAGCTTCTTTACCGCATCAATGCGCAGATGAAGGCCTTCAGGAAAGAGCTCCAGGCTTTCATTGACAGACTCGAAGTTCCAAAGTCTTCAGACGATCGAAGTGCAGATGAACCTTTGTCAGTGAGTCAGGTAGACTTTTACTTATTACGGCCTACAGGTAAAAAGGCTCTGCCAAGCAAATTAAGCCCCAAATTCAATTTATGGCACGTGAATATTCTTTACTCTAGGCAGTGGACCACAATCACTATTTCTCAAATTACTTAAAATCCCCATTTGGCCATATAAAATTATGTTCTACCAGTAGAGTTGTTTGTGAACAGTGAATAAGTTTGGTCTCCTGGAAATTAAAATTGTGTGCTGGGAGGTAGAAGATTTTACTCCTTTCTGGCTTTGCAACTGCATTTTGACAGAGTTGTGCCTTCATTGCCACTAAAGGCAGTACAGACGGTATTTCTGGCACACAAATGAACATGATTGTTTTCTTAGTGGTTGGTTTCCTGTTAAATGATTAAAAGGAAAATTTTATTAATTTTAAACAGGAAGAATCAATAAATTTCAGAAATTATAGAGAATATGGCAAACCACGGATAAAAAGAAATCATGTGAATCTACTTTATGGAGTCACAGAGCCACACAGTAGTGTGAATATTGGAATTGCTGTAACTGATTGCATCTTGTTGAAGGCCTATGGGTCACTGCTTGCATGCAGCAGTGACAAGAATCTTTTTTGTGGTTCATTTTTGTGCAGAACTGTTTCAGAGAGGTTTTGGGGAGCAAATTCCTTGCTCTGACTCAAGATCTTTTGCCATGAAAAATGAAAATTACCAACTCTTATCTTATCATGCAGTCCTATAGTTGGCATATCTTGTTATTGCTCATGGAATTACCCAATGTTTTGTAAGTCTCTTGCTGTGTTAATTTATTTTGTGCTGTCTTGCTAGTTTACAGTCAAAGTAGTTGCCAGGTAAAGCTGAAAGCGATTCTTATTCCTATGCTGACTAATTAGTCTTTTGTTTCCTTGTATCAGAAAGTCACAGACGCAGTGAGTTTAAAGCTAATCAATTACTATACATGTATTGCATGAAATCAAACAGAGACGGCATTTAGCATGCTCACTTTCGGATCTAGCAATAGCTCTGAGCTTGTAGAGCTCCCATTAGCTGAAAGGCAGAGCACTGCATGGACTTATACAAATATAAAGCAAACTAAATAATATTTTCTCTAAACAAGTAACAACAATTGAACATTTAACAATTGGACATTTCAGGGCATGACCATGCAGAACTCCTACTCAAGTAAATGGGAGATGGGCACTTGTCCCTCCACAAGCGTAGTCTGATTCACTATTTATTTTGTTGAAACTTTGGACTTGCTATTCCATTAATTGACTGTTCTCTTTGTCTTTGTATTTACTTTCCCAGATGTTCCAGCCTATCATTTTACTTATTCTCATTCTTGTATTATTTTCATCCCTTTCATACACAACAATATTTAAACTTGTCTTCCTTTTTACACTGTTTTTTGTACTGTAAGCCATTCATCATTTACTGTTCATTGTAGTGTTATTTTCAGTTTGTTTATTTTGTCCACCCTCCAAGATAAGAAGTGCAAGAGACATAGTTTCTGTAATAGCCACTGCTGTAAAAACACTGAAGACTACTTGTTTGCCAAAACCAAAAAAAACCCCAAAAAAGCTGCAAAAACCATACCAAAAAGTCACCCAGTTGAACAGGAAACCTGCTCACCACAGTGTTCCAGGTAAGCAAACAGACAACGATATTTTTCACTTTCTCTGGTTTTATCATTTTTGGATTAAAGTTTCCTGAGTGACTGAAACCATTTTAGTATTTATTAATTTGCACCAAATCAGAAACAAAACGGAAATATGCACAGTGGGTGTGACGACTCTTACTTTCCTCTTCCCACTCCCAGAAACAGAATTTGTATTCTAGCCACAAACGAATAGTAAAATCGCATTCCATGTTTATTCTGTGGTTGTATGTCACAGCTTGTATATATATTTTGCATGACTGTGATGATGATGTTTTCCAGGACTGTATTAACATGGATTAGACACCCTGGAGGGGACAAAATCAGAACGTTTGGTATATAAAGCACTCTGGAACTGTGTCTAGGAGCTGGAGCCCCTGAGAATGAGATGCCTGAGGAGGAGGTATCAGAGTAGTTTAGGAGTCTTCAGAGATACAGGCTGACTGCATTCTCTCTAAGCTCTAGAAAAATGGCCATGCTAGAGTCTAACTTGAACTGATGAGAGTGATGTAAGTCACCTTGTCTCATGTTGAATTTATCAGATAACATTTCCCAGTCTGTAGCTACCGCAGCTTTACATTCTCCAGAATGAATTTCAGAATGAATTTTGAATGAACATGGTAACTCTTGGCTTGCTGAGTGACCCCCATCTAACCATGCTGTTGGTAGCCAACGACCATAGGTGAGGGAAGCTTGTGTGCATAGGTGTGCATCAATAGTCACTTAATATTCCTGTCTTGCTTATGAGAGGCTGAACTAACAATACAGGCAACTCATTACCTTTCTTTCACACTTACATGGGCTATTCCTACAAACAGTAGATCTCCCACTGTGAAAACCTCATCTGAAATGTCCGATGGGGCTCAGTTTTCTGTTTTATTCAACCTATGTTGAAACCATTGAGTCCCGCAAATGTGAATTCTCCAAAGGTGAATAAGTATGTGTATTAATGACATTTTTTTTCTGCAGTTGCCATGTTAAATAATCTAATAATGAATAGTGGTAATAAAAAAAGCAGCTAGCAATAAGGATTCCCTTTGACTTATGCTAGCACTTTGTTCACTTAACACATTTCCCAGTCAGAAAAGTTCATCTCCATGCCTGGGCTGTGCTCTGCTACTTTTTGAGAGACACCACTTTGAGAGAAAATCCTTGAAGGGCAGCAGAGGTGGAGCAATAAAATTTATGTTTTAAGAACAAAAAAATAGTAAACTCAAAATATTTGGTATTAAACAAATATTGTATTTTTCTCCTTGTTTGTCTAGCTTTCCCTCAGCATATTCTGCAGGTGTAGTAACCTTATCATTTAAATTATTGACCTCTTTGATTTAAATACTTATTGCTACCAGGGGATGCTGTCATTATCTATTTTATAGTTAGCAAGATATGTCTAAAGGAAATTAGAATCAATACATATGAGATAATTATATAGCCTTGACTGGTGTCCCAAATAAAAAGAAAGTCAGGCCCAAACTAATTTTGAGGAGTTTCTAAGCTGCTTTCATTTAAGTGTATGTGTTCAGACAAGAGGTGGAGCTAATCTCTGCACAAACACTGGCAGTTACAACCCCATTGCTTTCTCACGGTGTTTTTTTCTTGCATATAGCTGGACATTTCCTAGGCCTAATTCCATTGGGCAGCAACAAAACAAATCAAAGCTGAGACCTTTTGAGACATTTAGGGAGCTATTGCACAGGCAACAATATGAAATAAAAGCACACCAAAGTATACAAAATTATTTTAGAAGTTCCCCACAGTCTTTGAATCTGTGACGAGCATGGAGAATGGTGAGGAGCCCCAGAAACAGAGAAATCTCAGTGAGAAATGAGATGTGTTTTTCCTGTCCTTTTTCATTCTCCTTGAAGGCAGGAATTGAAGTGACTTATCTGTTTCACACCAGATATCGTATAATTTAAAAAGTTGCTGAGAAAGCTAATAAAATCTGTATGAACATTTATTCTTCGCCAGAAGACAACATCTAGCCAAAGAAATAAATGTTCTGTCTTGCTAAATTGAACTTAGTATTACGAAATGCAACAATTACACTTGCGAGAAAGGAAGCAGACTCTCCCCACTCAGTTACCGGCCTGGTGGGCAAAGACCATTTCACAGGTGAGTGAATAGGTGAAGTGATGCAACTGAATACATCAGCATCCTCTAGCAGGAGTGCAGGGGAGTCAGGCTGGGCAGAGACAGACAGAATACTGCTAATTCACTGATTCTGCCTGCTGCATAGCTTGTAATTCTGAAGAGCAATTATAAGAAGAGTACAGATTTTAATTGCATGTGGCGAAAAGCTGGATATGCCAGGTTACCTATCAGTTCTGGTCTCACTTAGCAGATTCATGGTTCCCATTTTGTAACATTCTGGTGAATTATTTACATTCTGGGAAAAAAAGTCATTGAATTTGAACCACAAGATTACCTTAATTTAGCATTTCTCTGAAATATTACTTTCTGTTTCCTGTGTTCCCAAGGAATTAATTCCATGTTCTTTCAAAAGGAAAAATCTTTCATCTATAGGTCTCGTTCTGACATTTTTACACTTGTGTGAATTGGCAGTAACTCCAATGAATTTTTGTGTAATTTAGGGAAACATGTATTTTTTCCTTTAATGCGACCAGATAAACTCAATTGTATTTGTTTTCTATTTAGAACCAGCTCTGAATGCCCTGACAAAATCTCTCTGCAAATATTTTCTTTACTGCTACTGAAAAATTCCCTTGAAGCTAGAATGATAATCTTCTCTAGGATCAGAGATATTTCTTTCAACCAAGAATATCCGTGCCTGAAGTTCCAGTTTAGAGATAGAATAAGTGTCTGCTGACACATGTCACCAGTGTTTCAGAATCAAAACCAGAAGAGAGCAGGTGCTATAGTGCAGAAAAATGCCTGGCAGTTGGAAAATAGAAAATTGCCAGAAACATGGCTGTCTAGATATGTGTTATAAAAAGAGATGAACTGCACATGAACTTTGGGAGTTGTTTACGAAAACAAGCAGAGCTTCAGGGTATTACATGCCCTTTCCCTTAATCACCCCAGAATCTGATAGGTGAGTAGGAGACTTCTAAAGGCATCAGTATCACGGACATAGTTCCCATTGGCTTACATGTCTGTCTCTGATTTAATGCCAGGGGAAGTGATATTCAAACCCAACTTTTGCCATTACACATGCAGTTGCCTATGAGGAAAATTACAGTGGCTCTATTTAAAGTAAACATCTAAACTATCTGCCACCGATTTCCAATGTAACCTTGGAGAAGCGACATGACATAACACGTTGTTGGGCTCTATTTCTCCACTGAGTTATGTACTATCTCAGAAGTGCACAACAATAAGAGGAGACTGAATTTTTACTCCCTTCTGCCAATTTTGTGTATATATATATCAATTGTATATATCCACTCCTGAAATGTATATACCAGGGTTACCAAGGTGTACATCATTCAGGAATCTAATGATGGGTTGACTGCAGTGACAGCTGTGCTCTTCCTTCTTGTCACTAGTTTATGTGGCCATAGCACAATGGATGTACCATAATCAAACTAGTGCAGCAGCACGAAAGATGCTCTGAAACAGTCTTGAGCACAGACTATTGTAACCAGAATACACACTACCCTGAGTATGTAATCAGATTATAGCCCGTGCTGAAACTCATGCTGCTTTGCCTCCAGTCCTGCATGATGAAGAGAAATTTAGCAGAGGGCTAGTTTAAAATGCCCTTGCACCTTTTGTTTGTTGAGGTGCTGACTTTTGACACAAGTAGAGCTGATACCAGATATAGACAAAATATGCTTTCCTGGGGAAGCAATGTGTTGGATGTAATAAATCTTCCTGCTTATTTTACCTGTGCCAGAGGCCAGAATGGGAAGAATGCTGCTTTGGCTCCTGCTGCTGGAGGAGGGACAGTAGGGACAGTTTTTGTTAAATAACTTCTTTTCCTCAAAAGCAGAAGTCACTACTGCTACACTTAAGGGTATAAAGAATAATGATCCTGGGTTTTCAGAACTCACTACATGTTATCTTTGTCTCAACTTTACTCTGCCTTTCCCATATTAGGATGAGTTTAATGTGGCCCTTTGACCTATGAGATGGGTCCAGTGCTTGTCTCCTAATGAGCCCTTCAGTGTCACACGTTTCTAATTCTTCACACTGACAGAAATGTAGGCCTTTGCCTGAGTGAAAACTCAAGCCTGGGATTTAATCCATTGTTTTCTTTAATTTTACTCCTTTTACTTCAAAGAGTTCACATAGCAAGACTGGAGGGATTGAGTTAGCAATATTAAAGAATAATAGCCTATGCTGACGGATAAGAGTAAAAAAACACGTCTTAGGAGTCTGTCTTCATGTGCAGTGGTGCAGCTGTGCTGGCTTCAGGGAGGAGGCTGTGCTGTGGCACCTGGCCTCCAGCTGTGGGCTCAGTTCTGCTCCCAGGCACTCCAGCTTCACCCCCAGCCGTGTCAGCTGGTGTTTGGGTCCTAATGTCACAAAAGAAAGTCACACTGTTGCTTTATTTTTAAATCCTCGGAGTTTAGAGTCTGGGGATATTCTTAAGGAACATTCAGTCGAGTACTTGTGTGTCTTTGTTCAGTTTTTAAATTATCTTTGAAATTTTCACAAACAGCCCAAGTCCCATTATTTATGTTACATAGGAGCAGAATAAGCACCCCAGTAATGTATTCACTGAGACTTACAGCTAGACCATATAAGGAGAAAAAATGTGTTTTCCCTGAAACCTGGTTTGGTATTTACTATAAAATGCACCCAGAGATAAAATCTTTATACTGTGCATGGATTTTATCACAGATAAAAATTTAAGTGTTCTAAAGATGAGAGTGCTGACTAAGCAAAGGTTGTGTGAAACTCATATTGTGCCCTTTGTCTCACTGATCCTCTTGTCATCAGCTGCTCTGCCCACAAAAATATATGTCACTCCTGCTTAGTGCATTCGAAGACACCCGTCTGATAGCAGGATTTATCCAGTTTTATGCTGCCTGAGTCAAGTATTTTGGGGCCCTTCTCTAGGTACATGTGGGGAAAAATGTTCCCTGAAATGTGAATTTACTAACTGTGCCTCAGTCACTGTCCACAAACACATCCAAGCACAAGTACCCAGCAGGGCAGTGGTTTGTGTGTGTGGAGCTTCCACCCAAGGGTCTCTCTCAGTTGCAAAATGAAATCAATTTAACACACAATGCAACAGGGGAGTTGTGGGCAGAGAAACGAGGAGCGAGCTGGGCTCCTTGTGCCTGTGGCTCAGCAGGGGGAGCAGCTAATTTTCACCATACTGGCTTCAGGGTCTCCTGTGGACTTAGACTTGCTGGGTCATTTTTGTCACATACATTCCCTTACCTTGCCCCATGTCAACACTTGCTATGGGCACTCCCAGTGATTTATATCCAGGCCAAGGTGTTTTTGTACCTTCCTTACCAGACTTATGCCAGAGATGAGTTTCCTTGTGGAAGGGAGACTCTCCATCCAATTTCAAGTGCTTTGCTTTGCTGAGACACCAAGTGTCTTAACAGACTGGAGAATCTGATCCAGAAACCTTATAAAGTATCAGGAATATTTGGGTATATCCCAAAGAAACCATTATTGTCATTCCCAGAATGCAAGACAGTAGGATAACACAGTGCCTAATAATTACACACTTCATAAGTAAGAGCATATTTAGAGTACAGAAAAAGATTTCAGGGAGGAGTGGTTTGCTTTTAGCTCTTTAAGATAGCTGTTAACTGACAAAACCTTTTGTTGTTGTTTTGCTGCTTTAAACAAAACTCCCTTTAAAAAGCAGTTTATGAGGATCAAGTTGCAAAGCTCAAAATAATCATACTAAAAAATGAAACCCTGAAAACTGGGTCTGGAAAACAGCAAAAAATCTGGACCATAATAAAAGAAACCTAAAATTGCCTATTGTCATAGCTTTAATATTAACACTATCTGCTTTGGCAAGCTTTAAAGACTGGACTGCACTATAAAACCTAAAAATGTCCTGGACTTGGAGTTGTTTACACAAAATATGAAGAGATATAAAGTTACAGAGCTGAGGGCTGGAAGAGGTGGCTTTAAAACCATCCTCCATGCACTGACGTCACGTGGAAGCCAGCTGCGGGGATGATGCTGAACGGAACTGGTTTTCAGTTTGCAAAAGTTGTGGAGTTTTTCAAAGAGAGTTGCAAATACTGCCCTAGTTGAAAGGTTGTGTCTTGCTCAGCTTTCTTATTTCTTTTAAAGATCAAGATTCACAGAACTGGATCCCTGCTAGCTATGTGTTTCATTGCTTTCGCTGCTGCTTAGAAATGGACAGAGAAACTTCTAAAGGATTTCTTATTCCATGAAAGGTATGGTTGCAGTTTATTTTAAATCAGTGGTTTTGAACACTTTAGATTAAAAAAGAAAGCATATTACTGATGCAGCAAACAGTTATTTAAACATCTAATGTTACTTATGTGTAATGCAATGTTCATGTATGTTATATATGGTCTTTATTCTTAGAGAAAGACTTCATTAGTTCAGTTAGTTTCTTCAGTGCAGGCAGAGATATATTAACAGAACAGGAATGACGGAGCATTGTGAGCACTTGTCTTTCTTTTTCTTTCTTTCTTTCTTTCTTTCTTTCTTTCTTTCTTTCTTTTTCTTTTTCTTTCCTTCCTTCTTTCGTTCCTTCTTTCCTTCTTTCTTTTTCCCCTTTCTTCTTTCTTTTTTTTTTTTGTTTCTTACTTTCACTCTTTCTGGCTCTCATTTCTCTCTATTTCTTGTTTCTTTCCCTTCTCTCACTCAACTGTACTTTCTTTTTATGGGTAAAGCACACAATATTGTGACACATGGCACATGATTATAACTGAACAAATACATATGTTTACAATTTTCTTAGTCATCCAAAATACAGCATTTTGTTGGAAATATAATTTAATTTTATTTTTTTTCTGTAAAAACGAGGGAAGATTTGTGTCTCTGAATGGTTGTGTACATCCAATCTAATTAAAATCTGTTGAAAAGTAACATCTTGGCTGATGTCAAACAGGTTATTTTCAGAAGTTGATAGAGGTTGTTTGCAAACTATTTTGCATTTTAAAAATGTGGATGGAAAGGGAATGGGTATGATATGGGGGAATAATGACTAACATCAAATTGTTGCTTAGAACATTTTTTGCTTGAAAGGAGGAAGGACTAAAGGAAAATGCAGCTGATGTAGACAAAATTGATTATTTGCTTGAATTTGACTGCTGTAATGAGCTTCTGACCTTGTCTAGGACATGCAGAAATTGCCAATACTGCAAGAGCACAGATACTGTTCTGATCCACAGAGCAAATTATAATGTGGCATTTTACATGCCTTTGCGTTGCTTAAGCCACATGAAATACCCATGGGGACATCTTAGTGCACTATACAGACAGCGGGTATACTACCAGGACTGCATATTGGATTTTATTGCTAGTAGGGGAAAAAGCAAGCAATGCCCCCACCCCCAAAACAAAACAAAACAAACAGAAAAAAAAAGGGGGAAAGAGATGCAGAAATAGGAGTTAAAACTCTCTGAGGAACTGATCCACTGTACAACAGCAGCAAAATTGTATAGTCATTCAGCTGCTGACATCAATAAGCATGAGTTTTCTTCTCAGAATTTATGTCAAGAGGAAATTGTAGAAGTGTAAGAAGCAATACAAGCTTTTTGTGAATCTTAGAGCTACAAGTGACTATCTGTAACTTCTGTAACTAACCTCTTTCAAGACTTGATTTCCTTCTCATGGTCTCATCTCTTTTTATAATCAGAGTTCCATATGAAAAAATTAAAAATTGTTAAGATTAATGCAAACATGGCAACAGTACTAAGAAAACACCTGGGGCCTTTTCAACACTATATTCATGCTTTAAAGGAGTACATATTATATCTATTCTTACATGTGTAAAAATAATATGCTATACAGTATTGACCATTCTAGTAATATGCTGCTGATTAAAGTATGGCCATTATTACTATGAGTGCACTAGGAAGATCACCATTTGTGCAAATTGTTGACAGATTATGTCTGCCTGTCTTGTTCATGACTTCACAGCATTTACACATGGGGTTTTTAAATTTTTTTTCTGAGGTGTATTTGTATAAGGTTTATAGTGGAGTAGGGAGTTTTGTTTATTTCTCAGAGATGTCTTGAAAGGTTTAGGCATAAATGTAGCCAAAAAGCTAACGACTGTACTAAAAATTGCAATCTTTGAATTAGCAAAGTGAGAAAGTATGGAAATGTTTTTAAAGTTTGTTATCAATAGATGTTTAGAATGCAACAGATCTTAAATGCAATAGAATTTTTTTGCAAGTTGTTTTTGGTCAACACTTACTGAAGTCTGGCCCAAAGCTGAAACACTGGCCTGGAGAGGTGCAGTCTCTATAGCCTGGCTGCATTCCCTAAGAGGCCAGGAGCAAACCAGCGCTTGGCTTCTCTTGTGATGAGAATGCCGTGCTGTCTTTCAGCAGGTCTTAGTTACAAGGAGTTTCATGTTTTTATAAAGCTGCCCTGTATGTTTTTAGGCAGGGGAAAGGAAGGGTTTGAAATCTGTTTGTAGGCAGTTGAGGGACAGATTGCCATTTCAGAGGCCCAAAAACAGGTGCTTGGGATAAACTGTTTTGCAAGCCCTGAGTTAGGATTGGGCCCATGATGGCTTGAGAGGTCCTGTGGGAGGACTTGCTATGACCCAAAGACCTAAGTAAACTGTTGGGTTTCATCTGAGCTCTTCTGCTTGTTCACAAAAGAGTCTTACTTCAAGTTTGGTATCATCTTCCCAGTGAACTGAAATAACACAGACACTGGTAAACGGTGATTACACAGTAGCCACAGCTGAATCAACAAGACTCGTCCAATAACATATGGGATGGGGAAGAACTTTGTGTGAAGCTCAGGAATAAATTTTCACTGTATCATAGAAAATGTGGGCAATGAAATGGGCAGTTCCTGTGAGTTTACGATCAGTGATCGTCAGTCAGGGAAATGAACAAATTGCAGGAAGGTGGGATGGTCTTAGCCCTAGTTAACCCTCTGGTAATTCACTTGTCTGCCCATTTGATTTCTGGCAGGGGACCAAACCAATGCAGAGGTGTTTTATCACTAGAACTAGATTTATGTCCACCCAAGTAACACAACAATTGGCTTTGAGAACTAAAATTAACAAACTCAAGTCAATGTATGTGTACCAGCCATTATACCACAGGAGCCGTCATAACTGAATGAATGAGTGTTATTTTGGTCTTGCTGGCATAGTAAATGTGCTGATGGTAGTGGGGTTTCTATTGTAAAGCCTAAGAAATCAAGAGAACACCAGATCCATAAAATCTGTAACTGCTTTGCTCCAAACCCACATGAGCAGATCTAAAATAGTTCCCTTAAAATACAAATATTCAGTGGTTCGTATAATAATTTTTTCATTCAGAGACACTAAGATGCTAAAAACTGCTTAAGGGGAAGAAGAAACTGAAGTACAAATTAGTTAAATATTCTGAGAAAGGTTTTGAACTAGATTGGAGTTAGTGCTATTGGAGAATATTTTCTACTTTTCCCTATGCTGGTCCTGAAACTAACATGTATGGATTTAGATTTGTAAATACAAAAAGCTTGAACCCTTTATAGTGACTGATAGTCCTTTATATAGTAAAATGATGCTTTCTACTGTATATGTGTTTGTACCTGTTATTAGCTTTCCTGTCTTGTTTTTCTTCATGTATTCCAAAGCACTCATATAGCCATGAGAATTTTCTGCATATATCAGGTTTACAGTCTTCAGTTGCCAAAAGAATGTCACAGTCTTTGTTGTGCTCCATGCGTGCATGAAAGGAGTGCATGAGTAAACATGATACCTTTACATTTGCAGTTGTCTTTTGAACAAACCTAAAATAACTTTTGCCCTCAAGGGCAGATGTTGCAGGATCCCATGGTCCTGAAGTGCCATTCAGTATTATACAGACTCAAATTCACTGAAAACACATATATAGTGAAGAGTAATGGAAGATGCAAAGTGGCCATGGTACAAAGCCCACTGTGGCAGATGTTACTGAATTCTGTGATGCTGAATGCATGTCCCCCTTCCAGGTTGGACCTCTCTGCCCTTGGGTTTATGTCCTGTAACACTTAGTTCATCTATATTTCAGTCACACTCCAGATAAATATCAAGCAATCATATGATACTGTTTCCTGAAAGCACATTTCAGTTATGAATTTTGTGAAATTGCTTTGTTGTTTTTTGTTCCCTGAAAGCTAGAATCAAATACAAGTAAGACTTATTCTGATAAACTTCCAGGAAATATTCAGGGAAGAAAGAAAGAAAGCAAAGCTCTCTTTGCTGTTGCACGAACTGTAACCATGGACCTGCGTAAACACCTGGAGAATACTGAGAGGAACTGGAATAAAGAGAAGATGGAATTGCTGGAGAGATTTGACAACGAAAGGAAAGAATGGGAATGTCAATGGAAGGTCATGCAGAAGAAAATAGAAGAGGTACTTCTAAACAAAACTCTGAGCACTACCATTTTCACTTGGGGTGAAGTGACATGGAATCACTTCAATTTTTTTTTTCTGAATTTTATCCTGTTTCTTATGTCTCACTGGAAGTTTCTAATAGCTAATACTAGCATGAAAAACCTGAGATTAAGCAGTATTTGCAATTGCTCATTTAACAGTCATGAATAAAGAGCAGAGGGTGAAATGTCGCTTTGTTTGCGATGAGATTGTTGGCTGTACGTACTGCTGCCAGTTCTACTGGGTGTGAGCCACACTGCCTATATTATACAAGTTTTTGTCAAGTACATACTGAAGAATATGGAGTTTAGGAAAATACATATTTAGTAACAAAAAAATCTAGGTATCATAATCTGGCAAAAAGGAATCATATGGCAATGTCTGCTGGGCTAGATGGTAATATTAAAAATAATACATATGTTAAATTCTGCATGATATAGAATCATTCTGGCTAGAACCTGTTCCATTTATGGATGGCTTTTAGGAGAGGAAACAGGTAAAGTAAATAGCATGAAAGTCCTGACACCACTTGTGTTTACACATACTAACAAACGCTCACTCCCTGCCATTTGCAATGCATCTCCTTCCAGAAGTAGCTATAGCAATTATTTATTATTCTTTTATCCCCAAATTGTCCCTGCAGCAGAACCCTCTGGCACTATAATGCATTAACTGAGTCTGTTTGGCTACATATAGAGGCAAGTTTTTTCATTAGTGAACTTTTCACATTTTTCATCTAATATACACATGGAGTAGTTTTTTCTTGCTCTCTGCCAACACTGTCCTGTGGCTGAGCAACACAGGAATGTATGGCAGAGATTGCTGAAATGAAAGTATGAGAAGTAAAATGGTCAGAGCCAAAGGAATTACAGGCATACACTGCCCATTAAACCAGCCTGCAGCATAACTCCATAATGTCAGCTTTCTTATATTTTACCTGCAATTCTTACTTGCAGACTTTAATATGATGGTCTTTGTCACATTTTTCCTTTTGTGTTAGGACTTTTCTGTGGAATTGTACCTAATTTCACTACCAAGGTGAGAATACTCCAAAAATTAGTAATGTGATCTGTGTATGTAGTTGAATTTCATTTTCTCAGGTATATGAAGCATTTTGGAATGATGGTAATGAAAAGGTATTCTGGCTATTAGTAGTTCTGACAATGTCAACAAAGACTGTTTTCATCATGTTCTTTATTAGCATATGGATTAGGAAAGCATGACTGAGACAGAAAAAGAGATAAAGAATGGAATGGGGCTGGGGGGAAGAGAATGAAGCAAATCGCTGTGTACTGCAGGACCAGACAAACCTGCAGGTGATACCCCAAGGTTACTGGTAATCTAAGGTCCCCTCTTAAGATATGTCATAGCTCCCCTTGATTTCAGTTGCCTGACATTTCTTCTCCAAAAGCCACATACCTGGAGAAAAGGGGAGATAGATACCTTTTAAATGCCATCATCTGTAGAAAGATTTCTTTAATAAAATTTTTGCTACCTTATCAGCTTGGATTTTTATTTGGTCATTTTCTCTAGCCCATCAAAACCTAACTTAATTCCTGGATTCCTCCAGGAAGACTTGTGTGGTATAGGAGATGATATTATAGTTATGGGATGGTATCCTTCCTTCTTACTGCTGTGCTGAATCCATATGAAGCTCTCAATTTCTTGGAAATGGCAAAGTTCGCCCTCAGTTTCCATGAGCAGCTGGGCTTTGGAAGTGAAATCTGAAAGCCCAGGATGAGGTCAAGTGTTAAGTCTCTGAACGTGAGAATACTTGTCATCCACAGCATTACCCACGAAATAGCCACATGTTCTTCATGTTATTCTTTTTCACTGTCCTTTCAAAAGCTGTTGTGATGGCCTTGTGCAGTGTGAGAGGGCAGGCAGATGGCTGTTCAGAGGTGCCTGCTCTGTGCTTTCTTTGTAAGAGCAAGTTAAGAATGAATGTTTATAAAGAGCCATGGGATTCTTGGCACTGGGAATTATACTGTAAGCAGAAGAGATTTTTATGATGTTGCTATTTTTTCTAATGTATAATTTATCACAGTTCCTAGTTTGAATGTGCTGGGCGACAGGAATTAACACTTTTTCATTTACAAATGAAGCAACTGGATCTCAGCAGATAGCATGAAAGAAGAGCGTGACAGTGCATTGCCAAATAATACTATTCTGCAGTACTGACTTATCACTCCAGTCAGAGGGAAGAATTCCACTTGCCTGAGAACCAGAAAAGTCTGTTCTAGTGCAGATGGCACTGTATTTGATGTGAATTCACTTCCCCTCCTTCAACTAATATACTTTAATAGGCTGTAACATAGCCAGAACGCTCTCCCTCCCTCACATTCCCCCACATTCCCTATCCATCAGGTCAGGGCTGTGTCCACCACATAGTGTAATAAGATTACTTGGAAGGCAACCATACGGCTTCCAGCTCAAGGCAGGGCCACTGATCTCATGAGATCTCTTCCAATTCCAGCCATGGTTAAAAACATGGCAAAGAGTTTGTGAATGGTAGCAGCCCTTTCCTTATCCGGTGACAATAATGGTGTGTGAGCTATCACACTAGGTGCTCAGCACTTTTCTACAAACACATGTATAAAATCTTTCCAATCAGTGCTACTGAGTGAAGCATTGTTAACAACAGAAGATAGATATGTATTTTACCATAAAGTTCATTAGAATACCATGATTTAATAGAAGGTTCTATTGTTTTTTCAGCTCTACCAGGAGGTAAGACTTAGAAGGGAGAGCAATATGAATGTCCGTGATAACAATGCCATTCAGAGCAAGATGCTGCAGCTGTCTATGCATTCCCCTACTTTGCAAGAGAGTGACACAGTGGAGCTGAACTTTCAACACAATATGGAAAATGACAGAATGGAAAAAGGGAGTTTGCTCGGTAAAACAGGACACGAATGTAAAGAAACCAGAGCCAAGAGCAGAAACAATACTCTGTTAATGGACAATCTGGCCTTTGAGAACCATGAGGAACTTGAAGACAGCCACAGCATCAAACCTTCCAAGAAAAATACCAAGAATTATATTGGTGATCTCAATGTAGTAAGTAAAGTATGAGCATGTTTCAGTTACAAGGGTGAGGAAAGTACTGAGGACTTTGGCCTGCCAGGTTAACCTAAAGAACTGATCTCTCTGGTTTTAGCTTTCCAGCAAGTCACTACTTCCTCCTCTGTTTACTATCAGTGACTGTCCTCTCACTATTTAAATGTGTTAACAGCATGCTCTTTACCTCTCTTCCTACTGTGGGGGCATTTTTGTATTTATTTTTTCTTGTGCCACTTTCCTCTGCTGTGAGTCTGAAATGTGAATGACCACAGGTTTCAAAATAATTCTGGAGATACCATTTAAAACACTTATATTAAAGGACTGTTTTTATATTTATAAAGGCTCTTAAAGAACTTGCCAGAGTCAGTGAAGAATTATGCAGCTATCAAGAAGAAATTCGACAGAGGTCCAACCACAGAAGGTAAAAACATATTTGGAATTCTTATATTAGAGGAAGAAAATTAATAATGAGACTGTGCTACTTTTGCTGTTCACTTTGAAGCTGGGTTTGCTATTGGATTTATTAGGAGTTGGGCAGTTCCTACTATCCTAGTGTTTCAGTGCTCAGCATAAAACATTCAAATTAAATTTACTGAAATATGATAAAAGAGCATGTTTTATCAGCAAAATGGAGTTTTTCTCCAGAACCTACAAATTGAAATTAGTATTTCTATGAGATGAAATTATACTTGTTTCTAATGGCTATATGGAGGATTGGCAAAGTGAACAGATAGTTCTATCTGCCCTGGTCCCATTTTCATGCAGTTCTATACAACACTGTATGTGTTTGTCAGGCTGGGAAGTTTCTTACTTAAAGCCCAGATCTAGCCATAAGCATGGGGGATATATCAGGAACTGACAACCCAAGAGTGCAAAGAAGGCAAGAGAAGGAAGAACCACCATACATTTGTACTAATGGAGAGATAGCAAGTCAGCCCCTGAAAGGTATGGCAAATGAACATTCCACCATCTGTTAAATATTCAATATTTGTGGTCTTCTTTAGCAAGCTAATTACCAGTCTTCTCCTTGAGTTGTGCAGAAATTCTCAGGTAAGAACTGCTGGTGTGATAGGGTGCTCATGAAAGAGATTGAGAAAGGCTGTCTCAGCTATGCTGAGACCCCATTGAAGTGTGCATCATGGTAAACTCTTCTCAGATGCTCCCAAAGAGAAGAGGGACTTCTTACACTCCCCCATGCCATCATTTGGCTGTCTGTCACTAGTTTATTATTGTAGCTGGGCTAGTGTTTGTATCTTTAAAGCAAATAGATTCATAGTTTCTAAAGGTGATTTTTTAACAGATCTCAAAAGACACTTTTACTGTCGTGTAAGGTTAGGAAACCTACACAAGGGAGACACTGTGTCCCGAAGCTTATAATCATGTAGACTCATGGGAGTTATTAGAACTCACAGGATTCCTCTGTCCTTATTGTAGGATACGTAAGAAAATAAACAATCATCTAAAAAACTCAGGAAAAGAATTTTAGTGGCACAGGGAAGGAATACAAATTCCTTGTTTTGATCTTTCTTCAAATTCTTCATGTATGTTTCAATTATGCTGGGTGTATCAGCTGCAGCAAAACTGCTCCCAAATCTCTTCAAGCAGCCAGTGTTAAAACACCTGCTCATTGGGGAATGAATCCATGATGAGGTCCCCTGGAGGGATCGTTATTGCTCGTCCCTAAAACACTTTTCCTGTTATTTCCAGAATGAAGTCACTTCCTTTCCTGGGGGAATTTGAGG